ATTGTAACCTTCTGTAAAGACCGGAATCTGACAATGACAGTTAACGAGAAGTTGGTGACCTGGAAAATAAACATCGAAGAACTTTTCTGGGACTACCGAGGTAACCTTCCAGAAATAAATTGCATGACAGGGCCGTCAATACTAGAAAGCGAGGTAAACGTAGCTTTAAAACAGTTTAAGAATGGTGAGGCTACAGGTCCGGACGAAATATCTGTTGAACTTATTAAGGTGATGAGTAAAGTAAGCACCAAGGAGTTGACTGAACTGTTTAATGCCACAAACGATTCAGATAATATCCCAGAAAAATGGCTATTGTCAACATTTGTAACACTACCAAAAAAATAATCTGCAAAAATGTGCGAAGATTTCCGAACTATCAGCGTTATCAGTGATGCACTTAAAATTTTTCTTAAAATCATTCATGCCACAATTTACAAGAAATGCGAAGAAAATGTCGGTGAAATGCAATTTGGATTCCGCAATTCCTGATAGTACACCTGAAGAATTTTTACCTTATAAGTCCTACTTCAGAGATGCCGCGATATCAAGTTGTGATGTCTATATTTGTTTTATTGACTACGCCTAGGCATTTGACGGTTATAAGCACCAGACGAGGGTTGCCGTCCTACAAAGAGTAGGGTTGGACATTCGGATCATCATGAATTTATACTGGATCCAGCGTGCTCAAGTCAAGGTCGAAGACCAGCTGACCAACCAAGTGAAGATCATGCGAGAAGTAATACAAGGCTGTGTGCTTTCGCCACTCCTTTTCAATATATACTCTGAGAAAATTTTTACTTAAGTCCTAACAAACTAAGGGATGGAAATACGAGTGAACAGTGAATACATCAATAATATCAACTACGCCGATAACATGTGTTACTAGCAACCAGCCTAAATGATCTATAAGCCTTACCAGACGAAGTGAGAACTATAAGTGTAACATACGGACTAGACCGTAGTATTAAGAAAATTAAATTTATGGTTGTCAGCCGGGCAAATTTAGATCCCAAGGCACTAATGGCAGGTAGCAAAGAGATCCAGATACTCGACAGATTCACTTACCTTGAAACAAACCTTAACTCGCAACAGGACAACGCTCAAGAGATTAGATCCTGAATTGAAATGGCACCGTTTACTTCGGTTTTCAGTCAGTCTTTCACTAGTTCACTACCGTACAAGTACTTAGTTCGGAACTATTTCTTTCGATCGTATGTTTAGGTTTAAATGGTTTAAATTATTATAGGATTAGTTAGTTTTTATTTGCAAAAAATTATTAAGATTTGTTTTTGTTTTTCATTAACCGTTTTAAATATAAATATGGTTCAAGTATGATTTATTTTTATATTTACGTATATTTAAACTCATAGGTATTTATAATTAGGTTATTTCTAAAAGAACCTTTACAAAAATAAATCAGTGAATTTTCTAGGAACATTAAATAACACATTTTCATTCTCACTTTTACATAAAATTATATTTTGTGTAAATGCCTCAATCATTTTAATCACAACTAAATTTTTTATTTCAAAATTACAATACAAGAAACAACACAGCAAGGCAACATCCAAGCCAATACATGGGCATAAGATCCGAACCAGCTAGTCCAACCAGACACAAAATAATAAATATATGTTCTCATTCATTCATTCATTAATTTCTTCTTTAGAAGTTGAGACACAAATTATAATGCAAATCGTTCGCAGTGAACTAGTTATATGAAAATTAATGAACTAGTTCAATTAGTTCAGTTGAAAGAATCGTTCATTAGAACTATTTCGATGGTGAACTACACATCCCTAGTTTGTGGACCATGTCACCAACGATGAGATCCTACAGCGCATGCCAAAAGAAAAAGAAGTGCTTATAAAAATATAAGTCCAGAATTGGATTTTCCTAATTATGTAAATTAGTATATTTAAAATATAAGTAATTCCAATGAAAAGAAACTTTTCATTGAAATAACAGCAGGGTAAATCTCTCTACCTGCCTTTTTGATAATTAATTTTTGTAACAAACAAAAAATAAGTTTTTTTTTGTGATAAGAAGTATACCCTTCAAAGTTATATAAGTCTCAAATATAAGTCTCATATCATATTATATTAAGATTAATTTTTAAAAGTCACTGCAACAGTGTGAACGATACGCTACTGAACGCTAAGCTAGGAAGTCAATGAGCAATTTATCTCTCTCTATATTATGACAACGTTAATCTACTGTTCCTTTCTACCGGTCCTAGAATGCGATGTTTTTATGTATGACTTTTACAAAGAATATTATCTTATACATACTTAAGATGTTTTCTATATATAAGTTTTGTATATAGATATACTATTATACATAAATATTGATGTTACTAAATACATTTTATTATATACCTTAACAAATACAAAACTATCATTAAAATAATAATTTTGCTGCATGTCAATAATTAAATTATAAATTGCTAGAATATCTATCATTACAAACTGGCAACGATTTTGTTGCTTTATCGCATTCACAGTTCGGAGAATTTACTGCCTACAAATTTGATTCTCAAGTATAATTTAGTGAAACAACGTAAGCTTGAGCACCGCGCCACGTGATGTGGAACGAAGAAAAACATCGAATTATTAGGGAATGAAAACTCAATACGCAGGGCAAAGTATTTAGCAGAAGATGACCAGGACGCCGTTATATCTTGCGGCTAAAAAACCTCCGACAATGATTCGAAATGACCTCCGCGAAGCTGTTTCGCAGAGCAGTCAACTAAACCACAATAGCCTTGATGATCGTCAACATCCGGACCAGATAAGTCACTGAAGAAGAAGAAGAAGTACTTATAAATGTATAATACATGTTTGAATTGTCAATATTATGAACGAATTACTACGGAACTGGGCGTACAGAGTTGTTTAGACTGCCGTATAAATGTGACGATAGGCTTTAAAATGTATCCCAAAAATAAAAAGTGTCGCCTGTATATTGTTCTAGAATATAAAACAATTTCACTGACGAAAGTATAAATACGGCGATGGGACTGAGAGCCCATCTAGTTGTTGCCATATATATATATACGGCGCTGATAAAGAAAGGGTTAAAATCCTTTGTAAAAAAGTTTATCATGACTCGTTTATATTATAAACTTGTTATCAGAATCACCGCCCTAAATATATGGCATCAGTAAAGAATATCGATCGAAAGCAGTTGGAAAGCACAGAATGGCTAAGAAATCAAAATAAAACTTGAAAGTTCTACAGAAATCTAAACAAAATGCGCAGAGAGTTTAAGCCAAGAATAAGGAGCTGTAAGAATATAGAAGAAAACATCCTAAATGATACGGTCTCAATCCTAAACAGATGGGTTGAATTTTTCGACGAAAAATTTAATGGCAATCATATCGAAGAAGCAGATAACACCCTATCAAATCAAAATTATTGGAATCCTTTCAACCGAAACGAAAGACCACCTACCAACGAAAACGTTGCCCAAGTCAATAAAAAGCTTAAAAATAATAAATCACCAGGTTTTAAATCAAATTTACAGTGAGCTCTACAAGAATGGTGGCGATGCCCTACTACAGACACTGCATAAGGTTTTACTTCTTGTTTGGCATAATGCAACCATGCCTTGTGAATGGTCTCAAGGCGTGATATGCCCGTTACATAAAAAAGGTGACCAGCTCCAGTGTGACAACTATAGAGGTATAACCCTGTTAACAACTGCTTACAAAATACTAGCAAATATTCTCTACGAAACGCTGCAAGTTTACACAGTGTACATAGTTGGTAAATATCAAGCTGGATTCAATCCAGAAAAATCAACAATTGACCAGATTCATTCAATAAGACAGATTTTCGAGAAAACATTCGTCGACTTCAAGGCCGCATACGACAGTGTCAAAAGAACAGTGCTATAACAATCAATGCATGAGTTTGGTTTACCAGAGAAACTTATCCGACTAACGAGAATAACAATGTCTAACTTAGAAGCCACTGTTAGAATACAGGGAGAGAATTCTGGATCCTTTGAGATAAAGGATAGACTCAAACAAGGCGATGGTCTGGCTTGCCTCCTATTTAATATTGCCTTAGAAAAGGCAGTCCAAAATACGCGAATTAGGGATGGCGATACGCGAAATGGGGCGTAGCAGGCGAGATGTTGAGCAATATCTCCTAGAATTGGAAAGAGCGGCGAAACAGGTCGGTCTAGTCTTCAACGAAGACAAAACCAAGTACATGTTGGTTACAAAGGATCTGATAGCAAATGAGGAACGAGAAACAGTCTTTGGAAGTCATACCTTTGGACGTGTTGACAACTTTACATACCTTGGGGTCGCTATTGACTGCTACCAGTAAAACAGGCGAAGAAATCAAAAGACGAATAAATCTCACAAATAGGGCATACTATGGACTCCAAAAGCATTTTCACTCAAGAAACATTCAAAGAAGAACTAAAATTATTATATACACAACATTGCTGAGGCTGGTCCTCACATATGGAGCAGAAACATGGACTCTAACGCAGAAAGATGAAAGACTTTTGGGAATTTTTGAGCGTAAAATACTCCGCAAAATATTTGGAGCTATAAACGACCAAGGGCAGTGGCGCATAAGATATAATTTTGAAATGTATCAGCTCTTTGATGAGCCAGATGTCATAACGTTCATTAAAACACTGCGACTTAGATGGGCTGGACACATAATACGAATGCCAGAAAATACGATTACTAAAATCTAACCAAAGGAACACCTGTAGGAAGAAGAAGCAAAGGCGTTGAAGGAGATGAAACCAACTTACGGATATTGAAAATCAAAAGATGGTAACATGTTGCCAGAAACCGAACAGAATGACGACGAATCTTAGAGCAGGCCAAGATCCACAGAGGATTGTCAAGGCAAAGATGATGATGAAAGAATATCGATGGAGCCCAAGTTATTACTCATATTGGCCATATTGCTTTAGTTTTAAAAGAATACCAGCACCGCCGATCTAGTAAACGTGTTAATACTAAAGTTAGTATGTGTGGCCTTGCGGAGAACGATATCGATAAAATACTAGAGTGTCTAGATTCAGATGAACAACCCTACAGTGACAGTGGAAGTGAATTTCAACCTACTAACAGTGTAGCCAGTAGCGAAGACGAGATTGATCAAATGTTGTGCGCCGAAAGACACAGCGACAGTGAGAATGAGGTAAATTAAATGGTGGCCAATGTTATTGACGAATAGAAAGAAGCAAGTAAGGAATGCTTTACCTGAAAACTTTAGCTTAAACTGGACAAAAGGCAAGTTTATTCCTCAAATACATCATTTTGACGATAAAACTGCTGGTGCTTGTTTAGACAACACAGAAGTTCCATTAAGTGAATTGGATTATTTTCTATTATTTTAAAATAAACTTATTTTAAAGTAAAATTGTAGCATATTTCCAAAAGTATTTGTAAATTTTAATAAGATGTCACAAGAAAATAGATTCAGAAGAATATATATGTAGAAATTTTATTTGTAGCGTAAAATAGGATCTTTTGTTTTATTCCTTTTACTCTTTGTGAACATAATTCTTGACTTTATTTCTTATTTAATTTTATTGTTACCATAATTAACGACAATCACGGAGAAAAAATGCTTACATTCCTTTATAGTTGGACGTAGGGTATTTCGTCGTAGGGATTAATTTTACGGCAAGTAAACTAGAGCCGCATCTTTATGATAGCAAATAAACTTGTTACCTTAGAGCATAAAACTAAATGACTAAAGCAATAAATGTGTGGGTAGGGCCCATCGTCACCACCATAAATCTACAGAATCCTTTAACGGGTATTTCCTAATATGCTGTAAACACGAAACACTATTCAATTAATCCGATAGTAGCAAAAAGCACGGTTTCGAAAGCTCCGTTAAAGTTTGTTGTCATTACAGGCGTAATTATGGCGAACAACTCGGTGCTTGGAGGGTAAAAAATGTGGGAAACTCATTAAGAGGGGTTCGTATACTGATATGACCGTATTTCACAAATTGCTGCGGTACTTGAGGTTGCACTTTATATCACAGATGCGTTGTCCCCGCATTTCGTGATATTAAATTGAAAACTCATAATGTTCAACTCGCGGAATTTTTATTAATGGCAGTCTGGTAGGAAAATTCTCTTAATTTTTCTTAGCGTTTGCCTTATATCCTTCTTCTTACCTTCGGCATTTTTTTAAAATTGTAGTCCTTTCAGTTTAATAAAGTCTACGGGTAATATTCTGCATAATGAAATACCGCGTCCTCTATAATAAAAGCTTTTTCATTTTTCAGTTAATGGTTCAGTGGATATGAAACATGATGTATGCCGAATTAACAAGTATTACTCTGTTGGTAGTATTGAGAGAAATAATAATACAATATGTTGTATGCTACAACGTACAGGTAATCCCAGAATTTTCAAACGCGCGTTCTATTTGTGGAATACAAATTAAAAATTCTGATTATATATTCATCAAATTCGTCTTTGTCATTGTTTTTTATTAAAAAATAATTATGTCGTATTTAGACAAATTAACAGTCGCATTTCTCTATTAAAAAAGGACTAAGGCAAGGTTGTCTACTGTCTCCAATGCTGTCCAATTTATACGTACAAAAAGCCTTCGCAGAAGCAGTGGCAGACTCTAATAAGGGTATTAAAGTTAACGGCATATTTATTAATAACATCAGGTATCTCGATCATGCAGCCATAGTGGCAGATAACATCGAAGATCTTCAATGCTTTTTAAATGATCTAACTCTTGCAAGTGAAGCTTGGAGTTTCAAAATAAATATCAAGAAGACGAGAAAAATGATTATAAGTAGAAATGATTAACTCAACGCAAATATATACAGATTGAACGAAATAAATTCGGAACATACGAAATATTATGTATTTCGGCTCAATTCTGCTGTAGGTGGTTGACCAACAAAAGCTTGTCAAATAATTATATTATAAAAATCCAATACTTCAGCGGGCTGCTGGATTCTGAAATCATAAAAATTGAAAACTACACATAAATCTACGATTTTGCTGTCAAACTACTTATAGTCCAGGAAATGATGCATTTCACCTCGTAATTTTTTCGTCCTGCGTGGATTGACTTGAAATTTTAACAGAAGGTAGGTAATAGACAAGGATCAGAATCTATATCGAAGTGCGCCAAGGCCTAGGGGGTGGCCATTTCGGGGGTGAAATTTTTTTTTACGTTTTAACTACAGGTTTCGATTAAAAAAGTGATTCTAAACAAAAAATAATCCATACGTTTTTTTCGTAAAACTGATATTTTTCAAGTTATTTGCAATTGAAAGTAACTACTTTTAGACGAACAAATCGACGTTTTTAATCGATTTTTCGCGAATAACTCGAAAAGGGTACATTTTATCAAAAAAATTGTAGAAAACAAATTTGTAGCTTTTAAAAAGACAAATACAATTAATTTCTTAAAATGTTTTGCGATATAGCAGGAACCGAAATACGGCCTATCAATGTTCAGCGGTTTTCTTCAAATGCCAAATTTGAAAGATTCAAAGTCAAATATCGGGAAAATGATGCATTTTTGGAAGAAAACTCACCGAACATTTTTAAAGAGCATAAATAGACCTATCATAAAAAAGACTCTAGGCTCAAAAATTGAGTGAGTTATGATGAAAATAAGGTCAATACCTCATTTTTTTACGAAAAAATCGATCTCCGCACTTCTGCAATTCTCTTTGTACATGTATTGTTAATACGTCCAAGAAGTTTGACCCATTTAAAATGCTTAGTTTTAAAAAAAGTACAGCATAAAGCGTACGTATTTTTTACCCTTCTTTTTTTAAATGTCCCCAAAAATACTGAATATATGAAAAAAATAAAAATATACTAAATTGTAGCTTTTTAATGACTTAAATTTTCTTTTATTTAGATTTGGTGTACAATGAATATTTGGCGAGAGATAGCCGTTTAAAGCATCCATTTACGATCAAGCACCATCTTTTTCCAGCACTTTAAACTCACCCCATTTAAAAAACCAAGGGTTCCAAAAAGATTTAATTCACAGATCCTTGTAGCTCTTAGAAACCTCTACAAAATCGTTTTTGAAAAAACACTTTATCGTTAAATAGATTATATAATATCGTACAAAACCGGTATATTAGGTAGTGGGGCGTTATACATTCGAAATTTTAAGCGTTCTTATTTTGAAACCCCATACAACAGAATAAAACATCTGCTCATATGTCTATGGCTTGGCAATAAAAATATCAGAGCAACAAATTGGGGATAGTATTCCAAAGATGGTTTGTTAATACCCGTACGCATGAACAAACAACCTGCACCCGATGAACTTTTGAAAATTATTTTTTGCCAATGCAAAAAAGGATGCGGCGTTTTATGTGGGTGCAGAAAAGTTGGTTTATACTGTAACTCTACTTGTTCTGGGTGCTCAGGTGAAGGGTGCAATAATAGTCCACCAATAATTGAAGAAGATGAGGATGACATAGATCACGATGAAGATGTAATTGATGACGAATAAAATTAATATTATAATTGCTTTACCTATAAATGTAAATATTTTCAACTATTTATGTAAATGTATAAGAATATATGGTGCCTTTTTATGTTGATAAATTTTTTTGTATTTAATTCCACTTTTTTTAATTTATATCTATTAAATTAGTTTATAAAAACTGCAATGTTGTAAAGGGTGATTTTCAAAAGTTGAAAAGTTGCAAAATTTTGGCAAAAAATTGTTTTCAACTATAGCACTCATAACAATTAATTTTTAAGGGTTGAAAATGTATGAAATGGTAAGTATAAAAAAATTACTATTTAACTAATCCAAATCAAATTTCACTCATCTTAAGATTTGTAATGTTATTTTACAATTTTTGAAAATTAGGTGTAGTTTTCACCCCTAAGAACAATTGAAGTTACTCAGCATGACATAAACTATAAAGCAGAGGGTTAGTTGAGCTTAATTCCAAATTTTTATGCAAATCGTTCCAAGGCGAAATCATTTTCTTCGCATTAATACTTTTTTTTACATTAATCTCTAACAAAGGTCGCTTTTTAAGGGTTGAAATATGACTTTATTCAAAAGCACGAAACTATCATTATTTAATTAATCCAAACCAAATTTTACCCATATTCAGGTTTAATATATTATTTTATTATTTTTGACAATTAGGGGTAGTTTTCACCACTAAGAACAATCAGGGTTCGTCGACATGACATAAACTATAAAGCAGTGGGTGAATTGAGCTTTAATCCAAATTTTTATCCAAATCGATCCAAGGCGAAATAATTTTTTTAGAATTAGTAATTTTTTTACATTATCCTCTAAAAAGGGCTGCTATTTAAGAGTTGAAATATGATGTAACTCTATTCAAAAGTATAAAATAATCATTATTTACCTAATTCAAACCAAATCTTACCCATATTCAGGTTTAATATGTTATTTTAAAATTTTTGACAAGTAGGGGTAGTTTTTACCCCTAAAACACTTCAGCGCACTTCGGTTCGAAATAGATTTTGATCTTTGGGCTATCACCTACCTTCTCTTAAAATTTCAACTCAATCCTTGCAGGATGAAAAAATTGCGAAGTTTTAATTTTTTTCGAGCTTTATTTCCTGAACTATTATCGCTTCCTTTACGCAAACAACATTGTTGAGAGACAGATAGTTGAACGATATTTTATACAATGTCTATATCCAGGTATGGATTTATTTTTGTCAAAGTTTTATATTGGTCCACTATTTTAAATGCAGTTCAAACAGACATATATTCAATTGTATGTTCCGTTTTAAATTCGTTCAATCTGTATAGTAATTCTTGTGCCGCACCTTCTAAGACAGCGCCCTAATATGGGCTTTTTATAATTTCAGCATTTAATTTATTTTGTACCACCGACCTGATGATGCTTTGCAAATTTTAGAAAGCGACACCGGTCGTCTGAGGTAGTAAAATTAAACTGATTGTGAGTAAGTCTAATTATTTCTTTTTTGCCTTGTTAATAATAAATTACTATGTTTATTGGGAAAAAGGTGTACTTATTTTTTTAATCATATATTTTATATAGTACCTATATTTATATTAGTAATGATAATGGGTTTACATTATTAAAGAAAGCTTTTAGATTCATCCGGAGTCACATGAGTTGCTAGGACTGATTAATAAGTTGGCAAATTTCTGCAAACGGCTTTTTTC